AACACTTTTACGCCTCCTGCTGCTTGAATAGCACAATATTTACAAGGTCCCGTTTTTGTACACCTCAATCTATTCAAGTGGGTCAGAGCACCGACGAGAAGGTCTTTGTTAATAAATTACTTATAAGATGAACCCTGTGAACACTGCCGATGCACTATCCTCTAGGTAGGGTTGCTCCTCTTCCACTCCTTCCTCCCTTTTATCAGTCCGATGTCAGCCTTAGGGCCTAAAACATTATTACCATTGGGACGATTATTCAAGGGTTACATAAACCAATCAGTTCTCCCGCCCACAAGTCCTAATTCAATTTTTTCCTCCTCTCTCCTTCTCTGTTTGATACGCCCCGCTAGTCGAGATTCGGAAGAGGGCTGAGTCTTATGCTTAAAATATGCAGGAGGAGGAGGAAGAAGAAGAAGAAGAGGATAAGGAGGTGCCTGGACATTAAAGTAAGGATGATGTTAGAAGGCACTACAAAAAGTTAATGCAAAAGGACTCACAACAATTGACATTGAGAGGGTAGTTGATAGGGCGACAGGCTCGCCCTGATCCCTCGCGATCAAATCAAAGGTGAAACCAGCGGTGGGAGTAGTCTCTCTATCAATTGTGCTAAGTAGACAGAGAGCTGGAAATGTCACATCTCTCAACTGAATGTCGGTGAGGGTATTGGTAATGCAACGATCCTCTGATCCTGACAATAGCTTAAAATGTCGCTCCCAAGTTGCCATTGGACTCATTTTCTCCACACGAAACAACAACTCAGCATTCTTGCCCTCGTCCAAGTCAAATGCCTGTGGAAGAGAAATAATTGTTCCCTGTACTGTATTCTCTACTATCTTAAGCACTGCTGGTGTCTCTTTACCACCATGGCCAAGAGTGAAATCAGGTGACAGGTGAAAACGAGGAGGATTGTCGTTTACATCAACCACATCGATACGAAGGGCAAATGTTCCGTAGCCTTCAACTGTGATACCCAAAAAGACACAACACCTAAAATTAAGTCGAGGAGGATTAAGCGAATTCTCGGTGTGATTTTCCACCCGCTCCTCTGCCTCCTCCTCCGCCTCCTCCTCGTCCTCCGCCACAGCCGCTGCCGTCGCTTTCATTTGTTGACTACTTTTTCTGGCACAGCATCTACGCGACACTGCAGCATGGTGGGGAAATTTGTAGGGATCACAAATCTCCTCCCTGTCAATGGGCAACTCATTAGTCAGTATACGCGATCCATCCTTCCCTTGCCGGATAACAAATGGTCGACTCTCTGATGCATCGGTGAAGAAGATGAGAGTGTGTCGCGCCTCCTCCACCGAGATGGACAATTCAGTTTGGAAGAGTTGAGTCAAATTAATTGACACATCTTGAGCAATTCCAATCTGTACTGGAGTGTAGGTGGGAGAAGTGGATTTTTGTAGGGCATTAGTTTCCAAAATTTGAATAGCTTGTAAGTATTTACAAGCAACAGTGAAGTGAAGGGACCAGAAAAGTGTGAAGAGGAAGCAAATGAGGCAGCACAACGACGTTCTCTGCATCTCCCCTTTCACCTGCATTGCCCCATCACATGCGACTGTTAAATAAAATCTAAAAAAGGAAAAAAGCCCAATGTAAAAGAGGAACTTTGTCATTGAGAAAATCACTTAAATGCACAATTAAATTTATTAGAGGGAGAAAAAAAAAATGAATGGGGCGGCTTTCAGGACTTTCTGGCCTCCCTGAACCCACCAAATGACTCATTGGTTGGTTAAAAACAGGTAAAAGTGGTAGAAATTATGCCTCTCCTCCCAATAAAAAGGACATTGG